TGGGAAACTCCCTTAGCCCATACTTAGAACACAGCACCTTCCAAAATCATGTTCTCTTTTCTGCATAATATTCCCGAGTTTTCCTCTCAACTCTTTATTGAACACTTCCCATAGCATCCACACCTTGTTCTCCCTAAAACAAGGAAGGCCCTGGGCTTGAGAAGCCCTGGGATCATTCTAACACCACCTCATTTCCATATTAACCTCATCTCCAATAACAAACTCCATTCCATGGACAGTGACATAACTGCACTCCTGGGCTTACAGCCCTATAGAATGTTAGCCTTGAATAGAACCTTAAAAAGCCATTTATTTCAACTCCTGTATTTCACAGCTGAAAAAAAAAAAAACTGAAACACACATAGATTTAAAGACTCTAAGGTCACAGAGATCTGTACTCCCAACTTGTTCTGTATCCTTCCAATCTCTGGGGCTCGCCGTCTTACATTTACTTCCTCTTCCTATGGAGAAGAGCCGGTGGGGGGTGGGGGAAGGCATCATCTCCATGTGGCTTCTATCAGAATCCCACAGAGGATGTTCAATGAGCTCATCGACCTGAAGATAGGCTGTGTGGCACTGGTCTCCGCTGCAGGATGCTGGATGACCAGTGTGTAACTAAACGCTCCCTTGTGGTGCTTAACCACCCACAAGGAGATTGAAATTTCCCTTCACACACATCCCACTGGCAGATGGTCCTGCTATCCTTGTAAATGTGCTAAACCATTTGTCTGCTGCACTATAAACCGTACCAGTCAATTACAGCAAGTTTTTAGACTGTTTAAGCTATCATCAATTACATCCTATTTGAAAATTGCAAATTGGCATCATTATGACTGGATTTCCTGTCTACCAACTAACACTCTGCAATTTTCATATTTATAGTTTTTGGTTCTGCTTTGTCTTACTTCTTCAGATGCAGTTTGCCTGGCATCACAGCAGATGCCCGTTTCTGATCATCACAGATCACACTAGCCAGGCTGCATCAACATAAAAACTAAAGCCGGAAAGAGCAACAACGCTTTTAAGTGAAATGAAAACCCAAAATCCAACCTTCGAAGCCTTTTGACATATGCCGTCTACATGTTTAATGATGTATTAAGTAGAGTATTAAAACAAATATAAACACATATTTGGAGAGAGAGCAATTATGATTGAATATAAATTATTTATGGCAAAGAATTATGTGTAACTCACATTTTTATTTTATATGTTTCTTTTTAATTGTAATAAAAGATGCAAATGTGGAGTTCTTTATATGACTGGATTCAAATGAAAGATGATTTATGTGATAATTTAGTAATAAAGAAATAACTAAATAATTGTTTTCTTGATGAATCCTTAGAAGAGGTTTCATAAAAGTATATTAACAAGAGGATAATCATGTTAGAAAAATTCCGTATTCATATTCCTTTGTTTCATAGCCATCAAAACAAATCATCAGTATACTAAGGTACTTTCTGAGTAGCAGCAAAATTAGTCAGTCTGCTAATCTTTGGAAAATAGAATATTATTAAGGGCTCAATAATAAGATTATGTAAATGAAATGGATTAGAAAATATTTCAAGAAGGCATCATTAAGTATTTACTGAGCAAATTAGCAAAGAGATTACCCACATCTTGATCTAAAAAAAAAAGAAAATTACATGCTATTTTCCGCAACTGCTGTTGAACTACATCGAGAAAATATTCCATGTCACAGAGTCCTTCGGTAGTGAATTCTGTGAATGTCAGCACAGCAGCTGGATTCATTCGCGAGTGGACAGGCACAGAGCAATGCGTAGGGCACTACTACGATGGGGAAGTAATGGTTGTCGCAGAGCTACGGAGGTCATGTGAGGCATAAAGGCTGCCAAGCCACGAAGGGGAAAATCTGCCGTGCAGAACGCAGAGGTGTGCCCAAGAACCAAGCAGCCCTTCCTGCGTGGGAATCTGACCAGGCTTCTCCACACTGGGCAAGTGTGGGAAGCAAAGACTCAAGTTGAAGAGATGTCCAGATAGCAGACAAAGAACTACCTGTGGTCCTGCTCTCGGGAGAAATCTGGAGGCCACAATCAAACGACTGAGATGGGAGGGGAGAATCACAGCCATAATACTTTGCAAGATTCATCTGATATCAAGAGGGAGAACTTTGAGGCCAAATTCCTAGACAGAACGCACAAGCAATTTAGCGTTAAGGTGGCAAGAGCCTCTGAATCAGACAGGAAAGGCCATGACAGGATGGCGGCCACTGAGACTCCTGCATTTTGCTGGAAAGCATGGAAATTTCAGATGACTTTCTCCAAGAAAGAGGCTATTATGTACAAGTAGTGATTTTTTTTTTCTCTATAAAGTAGCTGTAGTGGGTATCTCCATCAACTTACCAATATACATTTTCACAAATGGTGCACCCCACAAAGCTAGCACAGACTGACCTGAATCCCACAGCTGAAAGCAAAAATATTTCTATTTTTTTCTCACTCTTTTCTTTAATCCTTCCCTCCTGCACTGCCCACCCCTAACACACACACACACACACACACACACACAACACTAAATCCCTGGCTATGGCAGATACCACACACAGTTCTGATAACACGAGTGGTTTGTTGTTATTGGTTTTCCTTGGTATTCGTATAGAGTAAAACATGTTATGAAGATTACAAACAGCTACAATGTCGACATTTGGTTGATATTTTTTGTATGTGTACCTAATAAATTTTGCAATTACACAAAGTTACTACAGTACTTCATGAGTCTAGATAGATTCCTTTAATATGCTGGGGTTGTTTCAAATGAAATATGCCTTGAAATTACCAAGAACCCAAGGACTAGGAAGGACACTAACAGGCCTCTCCCTGGAATGGTCTGACTATAAAAACCTGACTTATTCAGAAGCATAAAAGAGAAACCAAAGTCAACAGGCAAGACGTCAGAATGTAAATAGATAACTACGGCTCAGGTGTTGAAAGGAAGTAGAAGAAACTCAGGGAAGAAAAAAGACCAACTTTAAAACCAGCTCTTCATCTTTAAATCAAGAGAACTGCAGAGAAGAAAAAGAAAGAGAAAGACATCTAGATTGACCAAGTGCAATTACCCATACATGAAACAGAGAAGGGATGCAGCCAACTCTGAATCTAACGAAGCTTTGAAAACTCAACCGAATCTATGTGAAAATTTCCAACACAGGTAGATTTGGAAAGCAGATGATACAAAGCAATTGGAGAAAGGACTGTTGATACTTCCACTATCTTCTTAGAACTTATAACAAAAAGCCTAGAGACAAATGTAAGGTTGTGGCAGCCCAGCTACATCCACAAAGGAAGACAGGATAGTTAGGCTCACCAGGGCTCCCACAACACTCTGAGAGTGTTCACTTTCCTGGCAGGTATCTTCACCAGAGACCAAGATAAGGTGAACTCAGGGATGGAAGATTCTCATATTCTCTCTCTCTCTCTCTCTCTCTCTCTCTCTTCTCCCCCCACCACAAATATTTAAAAAAAAAAATTTGTTAAATAGTAAGCTGACACATTGCTGTCTTCTTGAATCTGCAAAACATTTTGGCAATATATCTTGTCACTCGTTGTATGTAAGTACATAAAAAATAAATTAAGTAATCACTGGAATTTCCATGTGTTTGTGAGAACATTTTCTTCCCGAAAGCCTCTGGAGCAGACAACACTTGGAATCCCCACTCTCCCACCAATTTCAAGCTCGAACTGACAGACAGCACCTGTGCATTCTTGCTGCTGCGTCACATGAGGGAGTACCAGAGACGGATGCAAAACTACTGCTCCTGCCGAGGCTCCAGCAGTTTTCAGACATTTGGAACTCTGAAACTGGCCTGCTCAGATCCAGGATGCTGACATTCTATGGCCCAAGTTCTCTCTCTTTCTCTCTCTCTCTCTCTAACTCTGCCTTTCAAATAAATATTTTTTAAAATAAAAAAAATGTTCTTAATGTTATTCTAATGTTCTGGCCTTCCCAGGCCATTCAGTCTCAGTGTGAGTGCAGAGAACATGGTTTTGGACTCCTGCGTGGGACCCTCTGCTTCCAAGATGAAGGCATGTGGCACTCAGAGATGCACGCTAAACCCCAAACACCTGTCACTGCCAAGTGGGCTATTTACTAATCTTCTCATTCTCTCCACTAGGCACACAGTCAACCTAGAGAGTTCTTACTAGTCTTAACGGTAAAAAAACTATATAAAAATGTATCCCAAGATCAAGCAGATCAAGTTTTATTCAGGAATTCAGTTATTAATTAAAATATTTTGTAAGAGCTAAAGTATAGCTACCACCTGCAACACCAGTGCCCCATATGGGTGCCGAATCATGTCCCAGCTGCTCCACGTCCAATCCAGCTCCCTGTTAACGGCCTGCATAAAGCAGCAGAAGATGGCCCAAGAGTTTGGGCCCCTGCCACCCATGTGGGAGATTCAGATGAAGCTCCTGGGTCCTGGCTTTGGCCTGGCCTAGTGCTGGCCATTGCAACCATCTGAGGAGCGAATCAGTAGACAGAATCTCTCTCTCTCACACTCTCTCTTTCTCTCTCTCTCTTTCTCTCTCTGTAACTCTGACTTTCAAAATAAATAAATAAATCTTTCAAAGAATATTTTCTAACCTATGTATCTCACATCAGATTCTGTATGGTTTTTTTGGAACTAATTGAATCCAATGCCAAGGAGACCTATGGAACATGCCAGACGCTGCCTGTCTAGACATTCTTCGGGAGAGCTCTGCCAGGCACAACTATGAATAACAGGATTAAATGGCAGAGTTTCCATTCTGAGTTTGGACCACCCTATCCACACTGTTTTTCACATGCTAATCCATTTTAAAGAGTAAAATCTATTATTTGCATTTTTACTTTCTAAGGCTGAATTAAAACTAAATCAATTGCAAATGAAATGGGTTAAACGCCTTTCTGATGACACATTAGTTCATTTTAATCGTATCAGAGATGGGAGCCAAGAAAATCGCCAAGAGCAGCCCTTTTTAAATAGGAAAAGAAGAGATACTTACAGCCAACCATCATCATTGCCACTGAGAACATCTTCTCCACATCTGTGGTAGGAGCGATGTTTCCAAATCCTATGGTTGTAAGGCTTGTCATGGTAAAGTAGAGTGAGGACACATACAGCGAGTCCTTGCTGGGTCCTCCTTCCCATATTCCCGCACTGCTGTTGTACCGATAGGGAGTCCCAATGCTCAAGGCCAGCTGGTACAGCCAGCTATCGATCTGGATGGTGTTGGTGACTTCATCGATGACCTCATAGTCTCCAATGCTGTACCAGATGCAGGCCAGCCAGTGGGCCACCAGTCCAAACACGCACACCAACAGCACGAGGACCGCGGCTCCGTATTCTAGGTAATGGTCCAGCTTCCGAGCCACACGGCCCAGTCGTAAGAGACGCACCACTTTTAAAGAACTGAACAGACTGCTGATTCCCTGAATGAAAGGAAAAAACGACACTTTCAGAACAGAAACAGGCTGGGGAAACAATACAATGACTCACCATCATGAACTCGGTCACTCATTTGTAGACTAAGAACACGCCCATGACATAGCTCTGACTTAAGAGAAAAAGCTGAACTGACAATCATTTTATTAAAAATGGAGATTCTTTCACATCCAGAGATAGGCTATTTATGGATGATTAGATAAAACAATGGTCTATTAAAGCAGACACCTAAATGGCACAGAGGGAAAACTGAATAACCAAAGGAGAAAACTTCTCAATGCAACATGCACAGAGTGCAGAAATAGGAATAACAGAGTCCAACCTTTTATTTCTTCTCCCTACAAAATTTTTTCCTTGCTCTGAAACTTTTCTTTTTTTATTTCTTACTTTAAAATAGCTACAAACAGCAAAACTTCAGGAAAAGGAAGCAGCGTCTTACTGACAAGCAAATAGAAACTATTTCTGTGCACATGGGAAGAATGAGAAAATATCATGGCTGATCCCACTACCACCTGCCACCATCAGGATAAGCACTAAATTTGCAGAGCTTGGAAAAAGCGAACAGAGTTGAACCTAGAATGGGTGCATAGCCCAGGAAATCCAATCTCCCTCCAGCAACAAAGAAAAGAGCAGCAACAAAATTCATAATACGTAGAGAAGCTTTTTAAAAAATGCCAAATAAAGCATTATCCAAATGAAAGCATAGTATGGCTTTTCTTCAGTCAACAAAAGTCCCATAGTTACGGTTTTGGAAGCATATGACGGTTCACCTGAGGAGGGAGGACAAATGCATTCCTGGGGCAAATCCCAGAATAGGCAAGGAGGAAAGATAGAGCGGTGATCCAGGGAGACTCTCATCTGATCATCACCTCCAAAACAAATCTAATCCCTGACTGCTAATTCTGACTCCCAGGGGGTGGACAGGGAGTCCAACTGAACTCTGAGCTTGGTTCTGATCATCAGGTACACATTGGTTGGTGCAGTAGAATGTGTGCGCCATTAACAAGACTCCAGTTGTGACATGGCTAGGTGAACAAGGTCAAGACTGCATTGATTTTGTGATACCGGACCCTAATAGTACTACACTTTGAACATTTTTCAGAAGAAAAATTTTAAAGAGAACAAAGTAATAGAAACAAAAGATCTTTTGGAGGTAGAAAGGCTGCAGAATTATTCTGCTAGCTTGCTTTCTGCCTCAACGTCACTTTTCTTAGATTGGTCTCTACAGCAAATGTAACCCTCAACTGCTGTGGCTTCCACTGCAGACTTAAGATAAATTCTCATCTCACTTGAACACTTGGAAGAAAAGGCAGTTAAAAAGAGTAGGATTAGTAAAGCGTAAATGACAAACTGCTGTAATCTGGTGACCTGTGATGTTGAAAGGTAGGAGGATTAAAGAGAACAAGAAAGCCTCACAAATGGAACTGGGTAGTCGTGAAAAAGAAATACAAAAACAAGTATTTATCGAGCACTTTGATATGCTGGGCTTTGAGTTAAACTCTGGGGACATTAACATAAACATGCTTTGCTTCTGCTCTGAAACGCATGAGGAACTCAGAATTCAATTTAAAAACGAAAACAATAGTGCTGTAGATATTGTTTTCTAGTTAGCTCAAGTTTGTGAAGAAATTGTAGGATTTATGTTTACTGCATAGAAAGAACAGGCATTGGCACAGTGGCTGAGTCCACTGGGGACTCCTGCATCCCACCCAGGAGGGCTTGTTTCAAGCCTCTCTGCTCCCGATTCCAGCCTCCTGCAATGGTACACCCTGGGAGGCAGCAGGTGATGTCTCAAGTATTTGGGTCCCAGCCACCCACATTCCAGCTCGCGGTTTTGTTCCCATCTGTTACCCTGTTGCAAGCATTCGGGGAGTGAATCGACAAATGGGAGATCTCTCTTTCTGTCTCCCTCAGCTTTTCAAACAAATAAAAATTTTTTATAAATAGAACAAAGTAAAGTTATTTCCACTTGAATTCTTTTCTCTGAAAACAGATGCACAGAAAAAGAAATTCATACATGATAGAGATGAAAATTTTTACCAAGAGAAGGAGATTTTGAAGAGAAATAAAACAGAAATATTAGAAAAGAATAATTCAATATATCAAACAGAAAACAGAGTGGAAAACCTCAAGAACTGACTTGATGAGAGAGAAGAAAGAATATCCAACCTTGAAGACAAATCTTTGGGAATACTTGAAATAGACAAAAAAAAAGAAAGAAAGAAAGAAAGTTTAGCATAACTGAAAATAGTGTTCAAGAGTTATGGGATACTATCAAATAACCAAAAGTACATATCTTAGGACCTCCTGAAGGCGTGGAAACATAGAATGGATTAGAAGGCTTATTTAGCAAAATAAAAAAAGAAAACATCCTAAATTTGGAGAAACAAAGGGGCATCCAAGTACAGGAAGCACACAGAACTCCTAATAGATACAATCAAAAAAGATCTTCACCACAACACATCATAGTCCAACTTTCAACAGTAAAACATAAAGATGCTAAAATATACATGCAAGAAATGCCAGATTACCTTCAGAGGATGCCAAATTAGACTAACAGTTGATTTCTCATCAGAAACCCTACAGATAAGAGAGAATAAAGAGAAATAGTCCAAGTCCTAAAAGAAAGAAACTGTCAACCCAGAATACTGTACCCTGCAATGCTCTCATTTATATATGAAGGTAAAATAAAGACCTTCTAAAACAAACAAATTGAAAAAATTTGCCACAATTTGTCCAGCCATACAAATGATTCCTAAGGATATGATACACAAGAAATAGAAAATAACAGTCATCATTATGAAAGAATGTGAAGGCAGAAAATCTCCTAGTAAAAGTACACAGGAAATCCAAAGCAAACAATAGAAATATTTATTGAAAAATGGTAGGAACAAGTCATTACTTATCTGTAATAACCCTGAATATAAATGGCCTAACTTCTCCCACTAAAAGATACAGACTGGATGAATGGATTTAAAAAATAAGACCCATCTATAAGCTGCCTACAACGAACAAACCTCACCAACAAAAATGCACATGGACTAAAAGTAAAAGGATGGAAAAAGATATTGCACACTAAAGGAAAGCAAAAACAAGTAGGTATAGCCATCCTAATATAAAAAATAGACTTTCAACACAAAAACTATTAAAATAAATAAGAGCATTATGTAATGATTAACAGATGGATTCAATAGGAAGATGTGGCCATAATAAATATTATGCATCCAATACCAGGACACCAGGCTATTTAAACAAATGTTAATGGATCTAAAGCGAGATAGACTCCAATACAATAATAATGCGGGACTTCAACATCCCACTAACATCAATGGTCACATCAACCAGACAAAAGATCAACAAAGAAACAACAGAGTTAATCTACCACTATGGGCCAAGTGAATCTAACTGGTATCTACAGATCCTTTCATCCTGCAGTTACAGAATACACATTCTTTTCATGAGTGCATGGAACTTTCTCTAGGATAGACCATGTGCTAGGCCATAAAGCAAGTCTCAGCTTTAAATTCCAAAAAATTGAAATCATACCATGTATCTTTTCTGACCACAATGGAATGAAGCTGAAAATTAACAACTCAAGAAATCTCTAGAACATATACAAATACATGGAGACTGAACAACATACTCCTGAAAACAGTGAGTCATAGAGGTAATCAAAAGAGAAATCAAAAAATTCCTAGAAACAAATGAAGATGTCAACACAGCATAAAAAACTTATGGAATACAGCAAAAGCAGTATTAAGAAGGAAGTTTATAGCAATTGGTGCTACATCAAGTAATTGGAAAGGCATCAAATAAATGCTCTATCAATATGTCTTATGGTCCTATTTAAACAACAACAAATCCAAAATTAGTAGGTGGAAAGAAATAATTAAACCTAGAGAAGAAATAAACAAAAGGATACAAAACTCAGTGAAAGGAAGAGCTGCTTTTTTTTTTTTTTTTTTTTGGACAGGCAGAGTGGACAGTGAGAGAGAGAGACAGAGAGAAAGGTCTTCCTTTGCCGTTGGTTCACCCTCCAATGGCCACTGTGGCCGGCACACTGCGGCCAGCGCACCACGCTGATCTGAAGGCAGAAGCCAGGTGCTTCTCCTGGTCTCCCATGGGATGCAGGGCCCAAGCACTTGGGCCATCCTCCACTGCACTCCCTGGCCACAGCAGAGAGCTGGCCTGGAAGAGGGGCAACCGGAACAGAATCTGGCTCCCTGACCAGGACTAGAACCCGGTGTGCCGGCGCCCCAAGGCAGAGGATTAGCCTATTGATCCGCAGCGCCAGCAGAGCTGCTTTTTTTAAAAAATAAACAATAGTGACACAACACTGGCCCACCTAACCAAAAAAGGGGGAAAGAGAAGCCCAAAATTAATAAAATCAAAGATAAAAAAGGAGGTATAATAACAGACACCACAGAAATAAAAAGAATCATCAGGAATGGCTATGTACAGCTAGATGCCAAAAATCAGAAAATATAGAAGACACAGATAGATTTCTGAACACATACAATCTACCAAAATTGAGTCATCAAGACAAAGAAAACATTAACAGACCATTAACCAAGACAGAGATTGACTGAATCAGTAATAAAAACCCTCCCGCCAGTGCCGCAGCTCAATAGGCTAATCCTCCACCTGTGGCGCTGGCACACAGGGTTCTAGTCCCGGCCGGGGTGCTGGATTCTGTCCCGGTTGCCCCTCTTCCAAGCCATCTCTCTGCTGTGGCCCGGGAGTGCAGTGGTGGATGGCCCAAGTGCTTGGGCCCTGCACCCACATGGGAGACCAGGAGAAGCACCTGGATCCTGGCTTCGGATCAGTGCAGTGTGCCAGCCACAGTGCACTGGCCACAGCGGCCACTGGAGGGTGAACCAACGGTAAAGGAAGACCTTTCTCTCTGTCTCTACCTCTCTTACCGTCCACTCTGCCTGTCAAAAAAAAAATCCCTCCCAACAAAGAAAAGCCCAGGATCAGATGGCTT